GGGGGGGGGGGGGGAGCTCCACTGCTGACTACACCGGGGACTCCGCTGCCGCGTAACATAGCCAATCTCTCGATCCTTCCCTCTGTTTATTGGTCTTCGTAAATGGTCCTAGCCAGTGCCCTAGGGGTAGCGAGATGGGAGGGAAGGGTGAAGGAAAGGGGCCTTATCCTAATTGCAACGGTCCTAAAACACTAAAATATATAATACAATAATTCTATTTGCAATGGGTAGCGGTCGAGACGAGTGGTCCCCTAGAGCCAGGTGGCGGGGCTCTTGAAATAAAAATAACAACTGGGTTATCGAACAGAGCAGACGTTAAGAGTTCAGGGTGAAATTCTGAGCCCTTTACTGTTTATTACGTCCCTACCGGATATATGTTTATTTTTTCGCTCGAGGAATTGCAGAGGAATCAACGTCAATAACCTGATTAACGACTTAATATTACTATACGCGGATGGTTTTAGCCATTTTGGTGCACCCTCCGGCTGATCTTAAGCGGAAGTTGCGCACCCTAGCTGATTATTGTGACGAGAATACGCAGAAAATAAAAATTATAGTTTCCAGATCTGGAGGAAAGCTGAGAAAAGACTCCCCTAACTTTTTGTACAAAGGCAACGTTGTCGAAGCAGTGAATAGCTACCCGTATCTAGGAGTGCCTTTTTTCAACTCCTCGTTTAGACTCCTTGCTTCCAACACTGCTGTGAGTAAGGCGAAAATTGCTACATCGTCCGCACTCTCTATTCTTGCGGCGACTAGGGTTGACTTCTGGGAAGAGATTATTATAGTATTTGATAATATGATTGCATCAATCCTATTATATACTGCACCCGTATGGGGCCTCAGATATACATCGGTACCCGAGAAGGTGCAGCTTGATTTCTTTAAAAGACTGTTCCATTTACCGATCTGTACGCCGGGTTCCGTGCTCAGGCTGGAAGTGGACATGTACGGCGTTGACCGATGCGATAACGTGCGTTTTCACAAGCTTGTTGCTGAAGTCGTAAATTTCAAGTATACTGTAATGAGTACGTCAATATGTTCTCTTGAAACTATTACTAACGGCGAGTGACCCGAGAGTAATACAAGATAAGTGAGAGGAAAAAGAATTGACATATTTATCAACTCACTGTGCGTATATATAAAAATTTGATAAAATATATTGAACGTTATTCAAAACTTATTAACAGATGATAAAAAATATGGATCGTGTGGATAATGTATGAAATCTCGAATCAGGGATCAAGCAGAGTTTTTGTTTTCAATTTTGTATTTTCTTGTTAATTTTGTATCGGATTTGATCCTTTTATAATAAACATTGGAAAAGTTGGGAGGGAATGGTTCATTGTATGAATTGTGCTTGGCGGGAGGGTATTTCTTCTATAACGTAGCGTTCGCGGGACTGCTAGTTACATAAAAGATTAGGGGTGATGGGAAGCCGGGGAGCGAAGCCGGCAGTGCCGAGTACGAAAATCGGGCGGGCCCGGGTAAGTTCGGCGCCGCCCGGAAAGGCGGGCTATGAGCACCGAAAAACGAAGAGTGGACCGAGGCGAAAGCAACTGCACGAGTTTAGGGGAACTTGGGATTCTTCGGGAATCCTCGGGCAGGAGGCCGAAAGGGGATATTTCATTTTGAACCGTCTTACGGAAAGATTCTGCGAGTCATAACGTATCATGAATTTTGGGGGTTTTTTTATGTGTGAGATTTTTTGTGACCTATTGGACGATCGACGACTTGCCTTTTTCGCGGACTTGAATTTGGACTAGATTTGGGATTTGTGGTGTGGAACCGGTAGGACTAACAGGACCGAGAGAGAGAGAAAGAGAGGAATGGCCGACTACGAGTAGCCGAACGTCGAGGAAGAAAAGTTCGGTGCACCGGAAGTTTTGGTAAGTGTAATTACACTACCATCCCGGGGCAGAGCCGTGCGCGCCAGTCGGGGATGCGGTGCATCCTGGCACGAGAGGTGGGAGGCCACGGGCCCCGCCACGTGCCCTCGCGATTGCAGATTCGAACCATCCACTGTCAACAAAGACGACCTCCGCAATCGCGTTCATTGTTAGAATTGTATCGAGTCGCGCTCGAAACAATATCCAACTGCACTCGTTTACCTACGTATAATAAAGTACCGTTATTGGAATTAAATCCCACGATGTTAGTTATTTGGGAAAGGCCGGCTCATTCCTGCAGATACTAGCCGCTCTTACGTTCTCTACCATCTATCCTTCTCTACCATGTTTGATTAGGAGCTAGCGGGAAGAACCGGTCGAGAGGACTCCCGGAGTTGACGTGCCGCGGATTAGAAATTAAAAGCCCGATGAGTCGGGCTGGTGCAAGGATGCACCTGCTGCCCAAGAGAGTGCAACGTTGGGGTCATAGATAGGACGTAGGATAGGATATGCATTACACTTCATACATTCGAAGCCACACCTTCTTTCAACGTCTGTGCTGGGATATCCTGTATAGATGTTTGTGACACTTTTTCATTTGTTTATTCATTTATTAACTCACTTGACGTTTTATCAATTCTTATAATAAGAATTGTCGATCAATAACTAATTGTTGTGTATTTATTTATTGATTAATCTAGTTGACGTTTTGTTGATTCGTATAACAATATTTGTCCGTCGACATTTAATTGTTATCCAATTTGTCCTGAAGTCTGTAAAATTTGACATTATGTACTTGGAAATGTTTATTTAAATGATTGAATTGAATGTAAATAAATGAAATTAATATTACATGGAAATACTCATTTTCATTAGACTGGCTAAATCTGTATAAAAAAAGGGTGCTACTGGCGTGATCACAACACGTGACGTTCTCATCACGATTGTTACTAGCATCACGTTACGGTTGTGAAATTACTTGATGTTAAGAATTGAGTGATGTAGAGTTGAAATAGAGAATTCTTTTAGTTTAGTCAGTTTTTTATCGAGTTGTATCTATTGTATCTACGTCTAGATATCGACGTATACTGAGGAAACTTTTCTATTGGCTTTCATAAAACTGGTCAAAAAAAAGGTCTCTATATTGTAGACTAGAGCATAGTAATTTTTTAATCAGACTATCGATAGAATTTTTTTTTATTTTTCACATTTCAGGTGAATTGTCAGAACGGATTGGTGTTTTGGTGTCAATTACAATACCAAAACTACATTTTATACACAGAAGACACAACAAATTTCATTGCGATCCGTAGCTTCTTTGGAAAGTTAAGTTGTTTTCGGACAGAATTTACCATAGTCAGAAATAAGTGAATGCTTTTTTTTTGGAATCTAGGACCCTGAAAACATGTATTTTCATCAAAATCTGGGAGTCAATTTTTTTTGTTGGATTGCAATACTTTCTTACATACTTTGTATGTGATGAGAAAGTAAAATGTTAGAATTCTGTGTAAAATTTATTAGGAAGGCTTGGTACGCAAAACTACAAAATTAACGGTTAAACCTTTTATTTAAGTAAACCTCATACTCTAGCACGAGAACTAGAATCAGAATGGGCCCGAACAACAAGCAGAAGCGCTGTTGTCCTGTGCCCCAGAAGGGTGGGGTGCCCCTCTACGTGGAACCAAACAAAGCCCCTAAGTTTTCCATAAAAAATAACATGTTTTATTTTATCTTAATAAATGGAGGTACAATTATAAGAAAATTTTTTTGTCTATAATCTCTGGCGCTCTTTGACTAATAACAGCTTTAGAATAATTAAATATGCATTCTATATGTATGTCCTTTCATTGATTCCCCTTAGGGTTACAAGTTTCCGTTTCCTTCTCCTTCCACATTATCGTCCTTAACCTACTTACGTACTACTTTGTCTTATCCTATCTTATTTTACCTTATCTTATTCCACCTTACTCTACCTTATGCTATTTTAAACTATTCACCCTATCTCCCCCCCCCCCACCTTCACCCTGCTCTTGGTCTCCCTATATATCTCCTCCACCCTCTCCCTCAACCCCTCCTTTACTCCCCTTTTTTCCATCGGTGCTTGCCTGTCGACCGAGTCAAACGCCGCCTTCAGATCGACAAACAGTGCAACTAGTTTCCCTTTCTCCTTTTCTATCTGCCTATTCACTATATAATTCAGCACGTATATATTATCCACCGTCCCTACTCCTTTCCTAAATGCTGTCTGGTTCGGTAGTATCATATGCCTCCCCTCTACCTCGTCCTCTAATCTCTTCGTCAGCACCGTTGTGTACACCTTATATAGCGACGGTATTAGTGTCACCCCCCTATTTCTCTACCTTTAATCTCCCTCCTTTTTTCACAATTGGCGCAATAATGCCTTCTTTCCATGCTTCCGGCCAACCGTCCCTCCTCCATACTCTTCTGCATATATCCCAAGCCAAATCCTCTATGCTTCCCCCTCCCCATTTCCACGCTTCGTTCGGAATTTCATCCACTCCCGTCGCTTTTTCCTCTTTCATTCTTCTCACCGTCCTTCTTATTTCTTCCCTAGTTATATCCTCTTCCTCTCCTGCCCTCTCCGACTCCTTCCTTCCCCTCCTCACCTCTCCTTTACACCTCCTAGCAGACTCATAAAGTATTCTTTCCATTCCTCACTTTTTATCCTATCGTTTACCCTTTCCTGTTCTTTCTCCCCTATTCACTATCTTATACCCTGTTCTCCGACGTAGCTTCCGCTATTTCCCTTATCACTCGTTCCTGTTCCTCCCTCTTTTTCCCTTCACACATCTCCTTGTACTCTCCCTTCTCTTCTCTGTATTTTTTCTTTGTCCCTCCCCCTTTTCTCCATTTTCTTAGATTTTTCCTTACTTCCACTTTTTTCTCTTTGCATTCTTTGTCCCACCACTCTTCCGTTCTTTGCTTTCTCTCCCTTTCCCCATTCTCTTCCCCCTTTCTTATCTCTTCCTTTATTCTCTCTTCTGCCTTTCCTACTATTTTCTGTATATTCTCCCCCTCTACCTTCGTTCCTTCCGTTCCTCTCGCGTACTCCTCCTTCATTCCCGCCGACCATTTATCCCTCCTCCCACTCTTTGTCTCAGCCTCCTTCCGTTGTCTCTCCGCCCTACCCCTTCTCACTGTCACCACCAGTGGCTGGTGATCTGACTCCACCCTATCCCCAACCCTTATCCTTTCTATCTCTTTCCTTGTATTTTCATCCCCTAATACGTAGTCTATCACTGTGTCACTCCTCTCCCCTGTGTATGTGTACTCTCCTTCTTCTCCCGCCTCTATGTTTCAATTAAAAATCTCCCATCCTACTTCTTTCACTATCTTCCCTAGCTTCTTTCCTTTACCATTTATCTTTTTATGCTTTGACTGTCCCCCGCTTTCTGCTTCTTCTCCTACCCCCATTTCTCTTCCTCCCTGTGTGCCCGTTCTCGCGTTAAAGTCTCCTCCTATTATTTCTCTTTCCCCTTCCTTTTGTCTCTCCCTATATCCTCTAATGTTTCCTATCTTTCTTTCTATGTCTCCATTCGCGTATACCCCGACCACCGTCCATCTCTCGTTTTCCGATTTTACCGTCTTTACTATTATTACTTCTTTCTCTCTCTACTCAACTTTCTCCTCTGTCACCATCTCGTCTCTGATCCCGACGACTATCCCTCCCATTGCCCTTCCATTCTTGTTTCTTTTCCTTGCTCCTTGCATCGTCCACCTGTACCCCCCCC